GCAACAAATTAACACCAAGTGAAGTGGTGCAATCAAGTGAAGAAAGTACAAACATGAATTATGAATTAAGATCCAAGTAGAAGTACACAAAAGAAAATACCCTCATTCCCCAACATAGTCATTGTCATCAATGGAAACAAATGCGAATTAAATAATAAAGAGAGAGAGAGAGTATTATCAGACATTGTAGGTGCACATCCAGCTAGGCAGATACAAACACAGCATGGGCCCCTGGAAAGAATTCTTGGATGGTGTGGGCTATGGGTTGATTACCAGCAACTTCGGGAAATGGATGGCCTTTACTCTCGTTATAAAGACCTAACACCCTAGCAATCATGGGTTGCGTGATGTTGATGATGTGGCCATCTATAGTGGACAGAAGCTAGGGATATGACACCACGAGCTCCTCGTACGTGTTCTAGTAGAAGAGTCAGACCAGACGAGGATAGTTTGGCATAGTTTGTGAAATGGGTGAGAAGCCCACTTCGGTCTTGGCTACTCAACCGGTGGTAGTGGCGAGAATGGTGGTGATGGCGGCAGCAGTGTCGATAAGGATGAACCCCTGGCCTTTTTGGAGGCCTAGGTGGATATTCGTCCACTCATGTCTTGCACACACCAAAAACATATACACACATACCCATGGAACTAACATGAGGATAAAATAGAATATCAAAGCATAAGTCTGCCCACTTACTTCACCACGTGCAATTCTCATCAATTTTTTTTTTTTTTTTTTGTTTTTTGAATACTATCCACAATTAGTTTAGACTAAATTAGCATAAGACAAGTTAGTTAAATTAGATGAAGTAACGTAATAAATGAAAGGAAACAAAAATAAAGAAAGAAAATAAATAAATAAATAAATAAATAAAAACAGAGAAACAAAAATATGAAATAAAAGAAATAAATGAATAAGTTAGTAGAGAAAAGAAAAACAAAATAAAAATAAAAACAAAATAAAAACAAAATCAATAACCAATGAAACTAGACAATTAAATTGAAGTTTAAGAAATAAGAAACCACTAAACTAAACAACTACATAAAAAAGATAGGCAAATACAAGGGTTTTTTTTTTTTTGAATGGGCCGCACGTGTGGCGGTCGATGTCTTGCAACCCAGCAGCTCAGTTTTTTATTTTTATTTATTTATTTATTTATTTTTAAATGATTATGAACAATGGTCAAAACTACTTATTACACTACCAATGAACTACATTACAAGTGAGGATTGAAAAATCTAAAAAAAAAGGAAGGTGGTTACCTTGCAAAGTGAAGAAAGAGAGGGAGAAAAACCCAAAATCAATCCATTTAATTAGGTACACATTTCACCTATTTACTTATAACCATTTAACCCAACCCAACGTAACCCAATTTCACAACATAAAGCTAGCCCAATAAACCCACTAATTCCAACCCAATACTTCCAAACCAAAATCCAGCCCACTAACACCCTTACCATAAGTCAGCAGCCTAATACCCTAGGGATTCTATTTACGCCCAAACAAATCATTAAGTTCTCTAAATTTCTAAATATATTCTGTTTAATTATTTAAAAATTTATTTTACTCTCATTACATCCTATTATTTTTTTTAAATTATCCTCAATGTAAATCCAAATAATAAATAATAAATAAACTAAAAAAAACTAAATTATTTCAAAAACTTTTCAATACAGAAAATAATTCTCAAATACAGAAGAAAAAAAAAAAACCTAAACTTATAAGCACATAAGCATTATAAATACAGAAAAAACTAAACTTTTACATAAGTATTATAAACTTTTCAATACAGAAAAAAAAATTTACATTATAAATTATCCACAAAAATGCTCGTAAAAATTAAAAACCAAACTTATAAGCACATAAGAATCATGCACTAACAAGAAATAGTAGTTCTCAAATAATGTACTATTTAAATGAAAAAATAAAAACAACTCCAATAATATGCTATTATTAATCTAACTACTGGACCCTTTAATTTTTGTCAAAAAAACGATATAGAAAATAATTGATAGTGCTCTATAAAAATTGTGAAACCCCTTTATATGAATACTTATCTATTTTTTGATGGGTTGCTTCAAAAAAATTATTTTGATTATTACTCTCATCTATTATTTGATTTTGTTCAAACTTTCTTCTAGGGCTTAGGGTTTCAAAATAATAAAAAACAATCAGCGTGTTTGGTTTTGATTTTCAGAAAACAATTTTTAGAAAGTTCTACTTTTTTATTTTCTGTATTTTAATGTTTTTAATGAATTTTTTAAATATTATAAGCAGTTTTTTTAAAAAATTTTAAACACGCCAAACATAAATACACTTAAAAAGCATAATATTTGTGAAAAAAAATCTTTAAAAAATTCACTATATACCAAAAAAAAATATTTGAAAATTCAGTATATTTTTCGTATTTTTGTGTATTTATTAATTTTTTAATATATTTTTCACAAATATTTTACTATTTAGATACATCTAACTAAGGTCCATCTAAAAAAGTTAAAAAAAATTACTTAAAATTTTTAAAAAATTCACTAAAAATAAAAAAAAAACATGCAAAAAAAAAAAAAAAAAAAACCAAATTTTTAGAAAATTGAATTCAGAAAAAACTCAATTTTTAGAAAATTGAATTCAGAAAACTGAAATAAAACACACTGAATGAGGATGGTCAGTTTTGGTAGGGTGGATCGGAGTTTTGTAGGGAGGGTGAAGAGAAAGAGGAAGAAAAATAAGAAATAATTTTGATCTCTTGGAGAAGAGGATACAGAAATTTGGATAGTAATAATTGATTAAGGTATACCATGAGAAAAAAAAAATTATTTTAAAATTTAATATATTTTGTCCTTAATAGTAAATTCATATTAGAATTTAATAGGAATTAAAATTTATGAATTTAAATTGAACAAACTGAAATATATTTTGAGTTGAAATAGAATTCCCAATACCCTAGTCCACTTAATACCACATAACCAGAACTTGTCAACTCTGGTAATCGTCTCCAAATCAAGCCCAGCCCAAAGTAGTTTACTAGCCAGTCAAATTCTGAAGTTAAACCCAACCCAATCCCCATCAAACATAACCGAAACACCAAGCCAACCCAAGCTGTCAAAAAAAAAACTGTTTAGCTAAATTCACTAGGCTAGTCTAGCCCAACCAAAAAATAAGAAAAAATTATCTTGGTAAATTATTCCCTGTTGTCTTCATGATGACTAACTCAAAGTTGTATTCGAAGTTTGACATATTTTCTCAAGGCCAACAAGGACTAAGCTAAAGTTTTAAGTACTGGTGGAGGCAGGACGGTTGCGGTCACGAAATTTTAAATTTGTTATTCGTTCGTTAGATTAGTACATTAGAAAAAATTAATTCGTATTTGTTTGTCAATTCGGCGGATGTGGATTAAGCAGAATTGCGATTTGGCGGATGGATACGAATCGATTTGGCGGTTTAAAATTTTATAAATTTTCAACATAATTCAACTTGTGCACTTCCTCCACAAAAAAAAAAAAAAGAAGAAGAAGAAGGAAGTATTACAGTCAATGACTTAAAAAAATATTACAATCACTACATGCCTCATTCAAAGTAAGAAAATTTGAAACTTTAGAATATCACAATCATTGCATGACCCATCCACATAAAGTATTACAGTCTGTGATTCTTAAAATATAAAAACAATTCAAACTACCAAAACCATGAACAGAGCAGTAATAGAGATTGTATGTCTTTGTATTGTTACATCTATATCTGTTTTTGAAAACAAAAATCAACCAGCATATATGATATTTTCTATTTATTATTTTTAGAGATAGATTTAAAAACCAAAAAATATAGATAAATAATACGTTTATTTTTTTCAATTCAAAAAAAATATTCAAGTTGAAAACTTTTTTTCAATAAAATATTTAAACTCTTTTTTAATTGAAATTTAAACAGAATATTTAAACAAACTGAAAACACAAAATCTTATAGATTAGTAGGGGTGCTCGTGGTTTGGCGGTTCGGTTGCGGTCAAAGGAATCTCAAATCTGCCATCCATTCGCCAAATTGGCGTAGTGGAGAAAATCAATCCGCAACGGTCCGCTCGTCATCACGCATCCGTCCAAAAGGCGGCAGATCGATTCAGTTCGGTCAGTTTTGGCGGACCGATATATCCACTGCTCATCCCTAGTTATAAGTAAACAATGGATCAGTATGACGAAACGTATGCAATCAACTAAGCTCAAGTTCACAGCCCAAGTTAACAGTTGCATCAAATGCAATCAACTTTGGATAAATTGGAGGTCTATTTTTTAGGAGAAAATTCAAGAACTTCTCAAAGTGCTTGTAAATATCATGTGAAAGTTGTTGATAACCCTGTTCCAATGCCCGGGGAAAGTGCAATTATTTTTAAAAAAAGTTCAGAAGATATCGACATCTCCGAAATAGTCACTGCGGTGCAAGAAAATTTCACACAAGAAGTCATTTGACCAAAATAAAATCTTGTACATGCAAATGTACCAAAATTGCTAGATCTTATTGTTAATATAATTGTTAAATTAGTATATAATTGTTAATTGAATCTTTAGCTTTAGTATAATTATTAATTGTATAGGTTTATGCTTTCCTTTTTGCTTTCGGTGATAGTGGAGCACTTTGGTATCCAATGTAACCATTCTTCTCTCTATAAAAAGAGAGTTCATTCCTCTTTGAATGTATCACATACAATACAGAAACACATCAATCTTGTATCATCAACAAATCAATCAATAATATACTTCATTTTATTTTACATGGTATCAGAGCTATAGGTTAGCTCTTGGTGATCTTCACCTTCCGGCGGGCGGCGACCTTGCCTTCACCGCCTGCCGGACCCCGACCTTACCAGTTCAATCATCAACCCAAAATGAACCGTGTTTAATATTTCTCCTTCCGGCGACTTTTCCGACCCAACTCCAGCGGAGGTTTCTGTTCCTTAGCTCCGTCATGGAACTTCCAGCAGAGGAGAGGGGTTTCCGGTCTCTTTTCAACTTTCTCTCTCTAGAAATTTTCAAAGAGTTACTTTAGGTGAAGGGATCTCAGCCTCCATTTCAGATTTCTCCAAAGTAACTGGAACATTCATCAAAGACCTCACGGATTTCTCAACTGGGCATCGATAAAACCCATTGCTCTGATCAATGGTGCCGTAAAGAATCTGAGCTTTCTTCATGTTCTTCTTCTCAACTTCCACCAATCCACCCTGAGCCAAGAGATCTTCAAACACCAATCCACACATGTAAATCCCATAACAAGGAGGGGTATTGTAGAGCGAATTGTTCTCAGCATGGATCTTGTAATCCAGCATCACTGGAGTAATTTCCTGAGCATTCCCAATCAAATCTTTCCTGATAATCACAATTATAAACCCAGATGGACCAACGTTTTTCTGGGCACCCGCGTAGATCCGGCTTTGAGCAGAAATTGGAAGACATGTCGGCAATCAAAAGACTCTCTTTGTTATTGGGAATGGGGTGATTGATGATCTCTCTCTCCCTTCGGTTTACATCTCTCTTTCTCTCTTCGCCAGTGTTGCCACAAGCTCCACCTCCCTCCCTCTCGGCATGCACACCCACACACTCCACACAGACACACGACTGCTACACAGGTTAACACACCCACACACCTACACACACCATTAACACTGATCTCTCTCTCTATCTGTGTTCCACCAAACACACCACAATTCTAAAATATTATCCCCACTTAAAATATTATCTCCACTCATCCACACCCCACTTTCCTTTGCTTTATTTTATTTTATTTTTCGTCATCAACCACCCCACACCAGCACTCACTTCCCTCTTTTATTTATTTGTTTTCCACCATTTTCCACGGAACGTGAGCCAGCTCTTTTCACTTACTTTTCCCTTACATTTTTTATTTTCCACCCATTTTTAATTTTCCACCCATTTAAAAAAAAAAAAAAAAAAAAGCATCAGGCACTAACAAAAAAGAGTAGTTCTCAAATAATGTATTATTTAAATGACAAAATAAAAATAACTCCAATAATACGTTATTGTTAATCTAATTATTCGATCCTTTAATTTTTGTCAAAAAAAGGATACAGAAAATAATTGATGGTGCTCTACAAAATTGTGAAACTCTTTTATATGAATACTTACCTCATTTTTGATGGGTTGTTTCAAAAAACTATTTTTATTATTACTCTCATCCATTATTTGATTTTGTTCAAACTTTCTTCTAAAGTTTAGGGTTTCAAAATAATAAAAAAACAATGATGTTGATGATGATGGTCAGTTTTGGTAGGGTGGGTTGGAGTTTTGGAGGGAGGGTGAAGAGGAAGAGAAAGAAAAATAAGAAATAATTTTGATCTCTTGAAGAAGAGGATACAGAAATTTGGATAGTAATAATTGATTAAGGTATACTATGAAAAAAAAAATTTATTTTAAAATTTAATATATGTTGTTCTTAATAGTAAATTTATATTAGAATTTAATAGGAATTAAAATTTATAAATTTAAATTGAACAAACTGAAATATATTTTGAGTTGAAATAGAATTCCCAATACCCTAGTCCACTTAATACCACATAACCAGAACTTGTCAAGTCTGGTAATCATCTCCAAATCAAGCCCAGCCCAAAGTAGTTTACTAGCCAGTCAAATTCTGAAGTTAAACCCAACCCAATCCCCATCAAACAAAACCGAAACACCAAGCCAACCCAAGCTGTCAAAAAAAAAAAACTGTTTAGCTAAATTCACTAGGCTGGTCTAGCCCAACCAAAAAATAAGAAAAAATTATCTTGGTAAATTATTCCCTGTTGTCTTCATGATGACTAACTCAAAGTTGTATTCGAAGTTTGACATATTTTCTCAAGGCCAACAACGACTAAGCTAAAGTTATAAGCACGGGTGGGCGCAGGACGGTAGCGGTCACGGAATTTTAAATTTGTCATTCGTTCGTTAGATTTGTACATTAGAGAAAATCAATCCGTATCTGTTTGTCAATTTGGCGGATGTGGATTAAGCGGAATTGTGATTTGGCGGATGGATGCGAATCGATTTGGCGGTTTAAAATTTTATAAATTTTCAACATAATTCAATTTGTGCACTTCCTCAAAAAAAAAAAAAAGAAGAAGAAGGAAGTATTACAGTCAATGACTTAAAAAAATATTACAATCACTGCATGACTCATCCAAAGTAAGAAAGTTTGAAACTTTAGAATATCACAATCACTGCATGACCCATCCACATAAAGTATTACAGTCTGTGGTTCTTAAAATATAAAAACAATTCAAACTACCAAAACCATGAACAGAGCAGTAATAGAGATTGTATGTCTCTGTATTGTTACATCTATATCTGTTTTTGAAAACAAAAACCAACCAGCATATATGATATTTTTTATTTATTATTTTTAGAGATAGATTTAAAAACCAAAAAATATAGATAAATAATACGTTTATTTTTTTCAATTCAAAAAAGATATTCAAGTTGAAAACTTTTTTTCAATAAAATATTTTAACTCTTTTTTAATTGAAACACAAACAGAATATTTAAACAAACTGAAAACACAAAATCTTATAGATTAGTAGGGGTGCTCGCGGTTTGGCGGTTCAGTTGCGGCCAAAGGAATCTCAAATCCGCCATCCATTCGCCAAATTGACGTAGTGGAGAAAATCAATCCGCAACGGTCTGCTCGTCATCACGCATCCGTCCAAAAGGCGGCAGATCGATTCGATTCAGTCAGTTTTAACGGACCAATATATCTACTGCTCATCCCTAGTTATAAGTAAACAATGGATCAGTATGACGAAACGTATGCAATCAACTAAGCTCAAGTTCACAGCCCAAGTTAACAGTTGCATCAAATGCAATCAACTTTGGATAAATTGGAGGTCTATTTTTTAGGAGAAAATTCAAGAACTTCTCAAAGTGCTTGTAAATATCATGTGAAAGTTGTTGATAACCCTGTTCCAATGCCCGGGGAAAGTGCAATTATTTTTAAAAAAAGTTCAGAAGATATCGACATCTCAGAAATAGTCACTGCGGTGCAAGAAAATTTCACACAAGAAGTCATTTGACCAAAAGAAAATCTTGTACATGCAAATGTACCAAAATTGTTAGATCTTATTGACGCACCACCACCCAATTATTATATCATAAGAAAGAAGATTAATTTTGTTAATGTCTACGAATTTCTTCACACTGTCAATTCCAGTTTAGTGGATCTTATGGCATAGGAAAATAGAAACCCAAATCACATATTCAAAATATTTGATTATCTGGCATGGATGAGTTCAATACTTAATAGAAGAACTCAAGTATGAGTTCTTTTTCTTAGTCGGGAAAATGATGTGGACATGCCAAAGAGATTTTATTTATTTGTTATTTTATATTTATATTTATTTAATATATCTTGGTAATTTAAATAGTATATTTATTATTTGTAGTATCTATATATATTTTGTTCCTTTATATTGGTAGTGTCTTAGTATATTTAGTTTCTTATTATATTAGATATTTAGTTTGTAAATAATTTTGTAATTTAGGTCTCGTTTGGCAACCGAACTTTTTAGTCAAAAAGTTAAAAAGTCAAAAAAATTACTATATTAGCCAAAAAGCCAACAACCCATACAAAAAAGTCAAAGATTCTCTTATCTCTCTACTTTTTACACATATTTTCGTAAAAAGTCAAAAAGTCATCCCAAACATACTAATTTTTTTTAGCTCATATTTTAGCTAAATAACCAAAAAATTACTAAATTAACCTATTCCCAAACGAGACCTTAGTTTCCAATTTAAAATTATGATTTTTGACCCACAAATACTAACTCTGTTTGGCAAGTTGGTTCTTGGGCTTTTTTGGCTATTTTAGCCACAAAAGACAAAATAGGCTATTTTAGCCATAACAAACAAAACATCACATCCAACCCATAATCATTACATTCTTCCCTCACAAAAAAACTCAAAAAAGCCAAAAAGCCAAAAAGCTCTTCCCAAACCAAGCTTTTAAGCCCAGGCTAAAATAGCCAAAAAAGCTAAAAAGCCAACCCACTTCCCAAACGGAGGCTAAAAGTCTCTATTATCTAATCTTTAGCTTGGAATAATGAGAATTTGACTGTTCCTAGCTATGGCCGTTGTGTTAGGGCCGTGACCATCTTCCTCTCTTTTCTCTTTTTCTAAAGCGTTTTATATCAGCTTGTCATCCAAGTTTATCCAATTCACACCTAGAAAATTATAGAAATCATAATATCCACACTGGGGGTCCATCCTTTTGGCCATTCACAATCCATTCTTGTTTAGAAGTCAGAAATTATTAAATATCTCTTCATAAGAATTGAACTGACAAACTTACATTATAAAGCGGTGCTACACAACCATTAAATTAAAAACCTGATTATATTTCATTAAAAGGATGGTCGAGTTACATTACTTTATTAGGAGTTGGGCTATGTGATTATTCATTATCTCCATAAACTTGGTATGGGACAATAGAAGTTTGAAACAATTGAGGGATTAATTTATTAGGAGTTGGGCTAAGTGATTATGTTCGGCAATTTATACTGTAATTCTTTTCTTTTGTGTTGAAGGCATTCCGAGGCTTTTGACCACCACCAATAGGATCGTTGTAGTAGGCGTTCAAAAGGTATTTTGCTAGCAGGAGCTATCTTTAATAGTTTGCATTCCGATCATATTGTATATCATATCTATCTATCTATCTATCTATCTATCTACCTATCTATATATATTGGCGCTGTTTGGGATAAATAAAATTAGGCTATTACAGCCTTATTTGGTTTTTTAGCCCAAATGAGACACTGTGCATGGATTTTCAAAAAAAAAAAAAAAAAAAAAAAAAAGAAAATAGGCTGCTGCCGGACAGTGCTGCTTTTTTGGGCAAAATTACCATTTTGCCCCTTTATATCAATTTTAAAAAATAAAAAGTTAGGGATAAATCTGTCATTTTAAATTTAAACATCATTTCAACACACTTTTCAATACAATAACTCAACTAAAAAATCATCTCATCTTCCCAAACACAAAAACTAAAATAGCTACTAAAATAGCCAAAAAACCAAATAGTCTACTAAAATAGCCACTTCCCAAATGAGGCCATTATATGAGTAAAAAAAAAAAAATTCTAATAACAAGGCTTGTCAGTGTTTTAAACTTTCAAATTAAATTTTACGATTTTTTGATTTTTAAATAATAAAAAATATTTTATTAATTAAACTCTCATTTAATCATAATAATAAAATCCTAATTATTTCATAAATTATGATTTTTAAAAGGAAAGTATGCTCAACTATGAAGTATGGGTACTTCGAAAAACATGCCGTACCTATACCGAGTACTTACCGATATATGGTACCTCGTATGATACTTTAGTATACGTACTGAGTATACGAAACACGTACCTAAATTTTTTCTTCTTAATTTTTGGCGTATCCAGACATACCTGGTATATAACTAAGCC